AAATACATATTTGATACCCTATTTGAAGATGTCAATGTTAAAAATCACAATAGGGGCATAAAACTCCAACAGAAAGTATATAATTGAGGGGAATTAAATAATAAAATCAGGCTGAAATAAGAAAGAACAATAATTGCATCATAACCAAACTGATTTCAACTGAAAGGCTGGAAAAAGCTAGATGGGAGGCTTACGTATTTTCTTCTCCCACAATGCAGATTGCAGACAGCAGTTTGACCACATCTGTCATCATGGCCGGCTGACCAGGGTCAATGGCTTGGGCCAACAGTGCCAGACTCTTCTCCTCTCCAAGGATCCGCTCCAGTCCATACTGCAGACAGACAGAAAAAAAGTTAAGTAATACATAACCCAGTGTTTCCTGTGATGCCATTCCATGGTGACACTGCACCACTGCTAAAACTACAGCATTCTCAGCAAAAGATTGATTCATTGTATCTGCTTTGAACATAATGACCTATTGAATTGTGGAAGAATGAATTCAATTATTGAAGAATGAATGCACAAAAAAACATTTGACACGAATAAAATTTCTTATTATTGCACAATATTCAACAAAAATTTAAAAAAAAAAACTATTATACAGTTTACAACATTCAACAATAAATTAAAAATAAAATAATTATTACTTTTATTTAATTAAAAATATATATATATAAATCAAATAATAATCCAAAGGGTACGTTATTGGAAATACATTCCAAGGGATTGGAAATATTGAGAGACACATTAAATTCAAAGTAGTAATTATGGAGAAGAGTTTTAGTTGTAAATTAGAGGTGACTCTTTCAAAAAGTGGAGGAACCAAAGAAGGACATGACGTAGCTGCCTGTTGCTCTGTCCTTGAAGTAATGACAAAACTGCAATCAGGGATATGTTAATAGTAGTGTGAAAGAGAGAGAGAGAGAGGGTGAAAAAAAAAGGGAAAGAAAGAAAGCATAAAGGTGAATGAAGAACACAGACACAGGACAGAAAAGCCTTGGGGGTCTGAAACAACAAAAGCAGATCGAGACACAGAGAGAAGCGAGGAGTCAAAGAGGGGAGAATATCCACGTCTGAACACGGGGGTTCGGTTAATGACAACCGCAGTGCCAACACCACAGGACAAATTTCTCATTAATTCAAAACACTCTGATGTAACTTAGACAATATCTTTCTACTCTGTCAATCTTTACATGTAAGATTCACTTGGCGTGAAATTATTCACAAAAAGTTGTTAATTGTTGAAAAATGGTTAGACTAATTCTGAATTTACATGATCTGATTATTTAGAAATTAAAAAAATACACATCATAGTCACATCATGTGACTAAATTTGGAAGACCCAAATCGGCTGCCATCTTGCAACAGCACAAAATAAATTGTGACTCAAGTTTAGCAATTTTCAAGACATGAATCATCCTGACTGAATTAATTTCTGACTAAAAAGCTTTAGGACAGCAAATTTACCAAGTTGTGTTAATTGCTTCATAACTCATGCCAATTAATGGCTCCAACTGCCATATTTCAGACTTGTTGTCATTCAGAACAGATGTTTCTGCTGTGTTTTTTTTTTAATGCAAACTTAGGTATGAAAACAATTTCTGCCTCAGAGGCACAGGGGAGATAACGCGTTATCACAGTGTTTACGCGCAGTAATGGATGTAAACATATTTGAGCCATTTTCTGTCTTCATTCCGCAAGAGTTGGTGACAGCTGAACGGGAGCACCTGGCTGGCAGGCAACATGGGCGGACTACGTCCCATGATGCTGCGGGGCTGAAGTGAGAGGTCTGGAGCTGTGACATGCCTCTGGGTAAATAAGGCTCTCGGCACCTGTCGGGTGCTTGGGATTACACCAGACCTTTAGGGTGTGTGTAGTAGATTTTGAAACTTGCAGAAAACACAACTGGGATCTCCAGCAAATTAATTCCCACAATGACTACACAGAAATAGATACAGTGAGTGTTTTTTTTTTCTTTGATCCTACAGAAACAGGCCTCAGGAAAACAACAACGGCCTCAACCCATTTATAATTCCTCAGTGGAGGACCATGACAGATTTCCAAATGAAAAATGCACTGATGCGCTTAATTGCTTTGTTTCCATTTTAAACAAATGGCATGTCAATTAGAGTCAATGACGAGACAATTGAATACAGTCACAGAAGAAAAAAAAAACAAGTCAACTTGTGAAGCTCCTGAGGAAAAGAAAACTCATTACATACTGTAGATAATGACTAGATTTTTACATTTTCTGTTAAAAAATGTACAAAACTCACAACCATGTTGCTAGGGCACTGTGGGTGGTTTCCAAGGTTTTGCTTTTTGGCTGCAAATATGTTCTAAAATAATATGAGTGTTCAAAAAAATAACTTTTTATTAAAAAAAGTTTTTAGCTCCCTGTTAGGGTCTAGGGATTTTTTCCCCAGCAAGGATGCATTCAAAATTGTCAAAAATGAGAGTAAAAAGTTTTACATTGCAACAAAATATATATACAACAGTGGCAAATTTGTTGAGCAGCAAATCAGTATATTAGAATGATTTCTGAAGGATCATGTGACACTGAATATTGGAGTAATGATGCTGAAAATTCAGCTTTGCATCACGAGAATAAATTAAATTTTTTAACATTAAACTAGAAAACAGTTATTTTATTAAACTAATAATATTTTACAATATAACTGTTTCTACTGCATTTTTTACCTAAAATGTTTAATACTTAGGGTGCTTTTAAAGGAGATCCACAATTCTAATATTCTGGCCAATACTAACAAAGCAAATAATTGGTAAAAAGAGCTGATATTTTATACTATGTTGTCTAAATAAACTAAAAATAAAACACTAAAAAATTTACTGTAACAAAGGCATGAAATTACGGCAAAGATTAAAAAAAAAATCAAAATATAAATGTAGAGTACATGAGGATGCACAATTAAATATCTAATATCTAGGATAATGATTCAATATTGACTGATACAAAATGCAAAATGCAAAAAAAAATCTGAAAAAAAAAAATTACGCATTATATGCATAACTACTTTATTCTTTTTCAAATCTCGAATAGCAATGTACTGTAATACCTATGCTTACTTTAGAAAATACCATTGATGATCTGATAGATGACTGCTAACAGCTTCTTAGATAAGATCAGTTTAACTTCACTCAAACACCATGTGATATGTTGACACCTGACAACATGTCTATCTAACATCTGCCACCTACCCAGTGAATGAACATGGATCAAAACACCACTAATCTCTATCTCTACCACGAGTGTATGTATGTTTGCACGAGGCGGAGGTAACTCCTCAAACCCCGGGCTATCTCAACAACATCAGAGACACCACTGGAGATCCACTTCTAACGTATCTCTCTAACAGGAGAGTGCAAATCATCAAAAGCCCCCTCAGACCTCTCCACCTCGGCCGTGCAGAGTAACCCCCTCCCAAGTTCAGAGTGGTGGCTGTCTGCAGCCCCCCTCATTTGAAGCTCTCCTCTTATCGCTCCAGACCATTTGAAAGCTGCCGCAGGTACGTGTGTCCAGCAGGGAGGAGCGGGAGCGGGGTGAGTTAGCGGAGATGTAACGCGGAAGCTGATTAAGGGGTCAGCTGAGACGCCAAAGCGACTGGAATGAGTCTTGTTTGAAGGTGGTGCTTTAGGGTGATGATGAGATTTCTATTTCAAAAAAGTACATCCGAAACTCATGAAATACATTCACAGCAGATAAATACACCACATTTTTTCTATTTTTGTTTCTTTATTCTACATCTTCTATGTCACTTGTGACATTTGATTAAATGTGATGGTTGGCTGGTTCTTGTTTTAATGCCATGCCATCTTCCTTCGCTATTTTCATGGTGAGTAATAAATTGCAATAGTACAAAAGATCAAATTAAAACCCCTATATCATATGGTTTTTAAAAATTTGCTAGAGATAAAAACTCTTAAATGGATTCAGGGTTGATTAAATGGGATTGCATTAGATGAACAACAATCATCTCCGCTTAATATATGAACTAGGGATGCACCGAATGTTCGGCAACCAAAATTATTCGGCTGAAAATAGCAAAAAAAGCTCTTTCGGTGTTCGGCCGAATAAGCGAAAAGACCGAATAAATTGTACCGAACAATGATATGACGCGATCAAATAACAACCAGCGCAGAGTGAGAGGCGCGCACTCTATTATGCAGCACACACGTCAGCAGTGTGGAAGAATTTAAACTGTCGGAGAAAGACGCAAAATCATTACAAACACCGACAGCGAGAGACTGTTTAGGACTGCATCGCATGTCTTCAATGAGAAGAGGAAGGGGTGCTGTTGTCAACAAAAATAAGCATTGAGGTCTTCCTGCGCGTTTCCGCCAAAATAAAAGTTGAGAAAAAGCAAGAACTCTTATCAACATTCATAAATATTAGTATTGTAATTTTACTGTTGTTCTGTAAAATAAAACAAAAAGACAATAATAATGATAATAATCATTACAACAGCTCTGTTTTAATACATTTATTATAACATTCACACATAGTGTTCAAATTAGGATCTGTAATATTGTCTAATGTTTTAAAAGAAGTCTCTTCTCAGCAAGGCTGCTTTTAATTGTACAGTAAAAAAATGTTTAAATAAATACATGCCTGATTCAAGAAGGAGGTCTCTGATGGCCAAAAATTATTATTTTACTAACTTATTCATTTTAAGTTAAATTGTGCTTTGTTGGTATAGTGTTTGCTAGAATGTTAAAAACGTTCAGTGTTAAATATTTTTTAATTGTTGTTTTGTAATTGATTTTTTTTCTTTGAAAAGTAAGACAAAACGGTAATAAGCACATTTTGGCTTTTTAATTTATGCAATGGTGAAAAAAAAATTGGCAAAAATACATGGGGGAAAAAACTCGAAAAACCGTGTTCGCTATTCGGCCTTCGGCCCAGTGTTTAATTTTGTTCGGTTTCGGCTTAGGCCAAGAATTTTCATTTCTGCATCCCTAATATGAACAATAAATTGTTTAGGTTTCAAATAGAATGACAGCCCACATTATTTATTCTTCTACTATGAAAAAAAGAATATAAGCAGTAAACTTTTAACAAATGATTTTTTCTTTGGCCACATGCAAACAGCAAAGTTTTGGGCTTTCCATTCCAGCACTACATTGTCACTAAAATTCTTGCATTTGTATATCCTTTACATCCATTTTTATGTCTTGCAAACTTAAACATTAGTTATATGTAATGTATTCTGCATTTTTGTGAAAAATTCTGCTTACTGGTCAGTAAAATAATGCAATATAATGCAAATAATCTAGCTGGATGTCAGATGAGGTTGTCAAAATAGCAAAAATGACTTATTTTCCAGCATAATGAATTTATTGGGTTGGGTTGGGTTGGGTTGTGTTACGTTGTAGCTATATAATGTTGTAATTTTTCTTTGTGTAAAGACAAAATATTTTAATATTTTTGTAAAGAGAATAATTGTAACATTATTTTAGCAAACACAAAAATCTATTACTATAAAAAAATGGTTATTCTTTTGAGAGGGTGGTGAAAACATGCAAGCGAAAAAAGAAACATTTTCATAGCTGCAAAAAGTTTAACTTTATGCAAATAAGCAGTGACGCAACAACCAACAACGGGAGTGAAGACGGTGGGACTCACATTCTGAAGAGTCATCACAACCATATTTAGGTGCAGTTTGTATGTGGCCTTTGAAAACTGATAATTGTCCAATATGAGATGAGAGTTATCTCAAGTGGAAGGTAGTTATAAAGTGATCCCGCTGCTCAGTTGCATTATTACCTTGTTGTTCATAAAGGCTTTGAGGCACTGAATGACTTTGTGTTGACTCTTCTTATCCACCTTTTCTTGGCTGGGGGGAAAAAAAAGAACAAGTGAAGCAGAGCTCAGTGGGTTACGAGAAGACAAAAAAAAAGATTCAAAGAGTTTAGTTAACAAACTGTTATGACCTCAGGACTCATGCTGAGGGTAGAACACACAACTAGTTTGAAACCTAAGCCTTTGCTTAAGAAATGTGGGTAATGAAATTTGTTTTACTGTTTTTTGAGGAGGAGCTTCTCCAGCGTATCCAACAGGAGGCCCAGACCCTCATGGCCAAAACTCTGCACCCAGCTGAGAACAAGAAAAAAAAACATGTTAGTAATTCTGATAACAAAAAAACATATTTTTTAATACTATAGAAGTCAATTGCTCCCATCAACTGTTTGGTTACCAACATTCTTCTAAATATCTTTTGTGTTCAGCAGAAGTAATTCATACAGGCTTGGATCAACTTGAGGGTGAGTAAATTATGACAGAACTTTCATTTGTGGGTAAACTATCCATTAAGTCAGGTCCAGCAGTTTACACTATTGGCCCTAGAGGTACATACTTTATATTATCTAAATAAACCACATTGTATAACATGCAAGGATCGAACCATAAGAGTCAATAAGCTTTATCAGAGTGAAGTTTGTCAGAGCCCATTTAACGTCAGTAGATTCCACCTTTTTCAACAAATTAAGCACTCCCCTGGAGCTAAAAGTGAAAGGCATTGCTAATGGAGCAAAGATGTTTATTTTAATTCCATTCAGACACAATCTTGCATTCTACATCTCTATTAATTCGGCCTCTATTGTCTGTGGGAATTGCCACGGCGGAAATTTAACTCTCCAATAATGAGAGGGGAAGCGTGTCGAGTGAGGCATTGATTAATAATGAGGAAATTCAATAAGCATAAACAAATCGATTAACCCATTGTGTGTAGGAAGCAGGTTACAGAGATCATTCAATTACAACTGCAGCTTGTAACAGATGTTTCTGCAAACATAAGCTTTTATTTGGATGTAACAGCAATGACACGGCCCGAGAAAGCAGACATTCCAATAAAAATATTTTTGCATTACATTAAAACCATTTTAGGGTGAAAAACCTTGTTCAGACCTGACATAACTTTTACAGTAGCAATACTATTAAAATTCTAAAAGATCTTAAACTTCTAATCTATTGTGTCTAAATAAATGTAACACTAAAAACTAAAATCAATATAATATAATAACTCAAATATAATGCATATAAGAGCTGATGACGATCTTGTAATGTCTTTATGCTGTAAATTATTTAAACACTGGGTACATCTGTATTTGCTGTTTCTGCCATTTTGAATACAATTTCTACTCAAATAATATATGCATGCAAGTAAGCATCTATACAACAATTTGTCATTTAAGACCCATCTACCCTCAGGTAAAGGTAATTGATCTTAGCGCTGCGTTCGACACTATTGACCACAACATTCTTTTGAATAGACTAGAAAACTTTGTTGGCATTAGTGGAAGTGCATTAGCATGGTTCAAATCGTACTTATCTGATCGCCATCAATTCGTAGCAGTGAATGAAGAGGTATCATATCGATCACAAGTGCAGTAACTCCATAACCCTAACCTCAAGGCTCAGTACTAGGGCCGTTACTTTTCACGCTTTACATGTTACCCTTGGGAGATATCATCAGGAAACACGGTGTTAGCTTTCACTGTTATGCTGATGATATGCAGCTCTATATTTCTTCGCGGCCCGGCGAAATAGCGGAATGCATAGTCGATATAAAAAACTGGATGACGAGTAATTTCTTACTGCTAAATTCTGAAAAAACAGAGGTCTTAATTATCGGACCTTAAACCTCCGCATGTAATAACCTAGAACACTGTCTAACACTTT